ATCCTTAAATACCTCTGCATTTCCTTCAGAATAAAACCCAAAATTTTCACACAACTTAAGAGAGGGAAGGGATTAGATACTTGCATCATTGCCCTGGCGAAGGGACAAGTGTTTTGCACTTGGCTGCTGAGGGCCTCTGGCCAGGCTGGGCACGGAACACTTGCATCTTTGCAGGCTGGGCTGAGGAACCCTCTCCCCCCCACCCCTCCTGCACGAATTTTGTGCACTGGGCCTCTAGTTAGGCTATAGATCCTGACAAGACAAATTTCAAGGTCTTCTGAAAGCCTTTGAAATTCATGAGGACAATTCCCAACTAATTTATTTAAAAGCAGCAGCAGGTAGGAAACAGCACATTTACGTGTCTCTGGGCTATCCTAGATAAAAACTGGTCATCATGCTCCTAATCTTTTTGCTGGCTCTGACCTCCCCTCCCCCCCAAAAAAAATCCTCTTCTCACTCTGATACTCCTGGTATCCTCTGGAATGTGTCCCTGAAAGGAAAGAAGTATCTTCAGAGAGACCAGTGATTCCATTACAAGCCTATGGGGAGCTGTGGCTTTCTCCCTTTCTATCTGGTCCAGATGTTATTTCTCTCCCTCTGTCACCTGTTTTTGGTAAAAATGACTTACAATGTTTCCTTTCCATCTAGTGTACAAAGCACTAGGCAGTGAGTGCTGACTGAGTTTTTGAGGGTTTTTTTCTAAGATGAAATCGTTAGCTATTTTATGAGACAATATATAAACAAAAAAATGAAAAACATTTGCCCTAGCCGATTAGTTCAGAGCATCGGCCTACAGACCAAACAGGCCCTGGTTTGATTCCCAGTCAAGGGCAAACACTTTGGTTGCAGGCTCCCCAGCCTTGGTAGGGGTGAGTGTAGGAGGCAGCCAATCCATGTCTCTCTCATGTCAATATTTCTCTGTCCCTCTTCTTTCCTCCCTTACACTCTCTCTAGAAATCAATGAAAAATATATCCTCTGGTGAGGGTTAAATAAATAAAAACATCATGTCTTTAATTCAATTCACTGTTTTCTATTTGTGTGACATCTACCTATCAGATTCCCATAGAGGAAAAAAATGTCATAAAAATGTAAGGTCCAATTTAACGCAAATATGAGGAATATCTCCACAACTAAAGTGAATGATGCAACTGTTGCCATTCTAAAAAAAAATCCATTTCTAATAATTTTCAAAATACTCTTACATGAAAATCATCTTTAAAAAAATAATGGTATAAGCCGCTACTTGAGAAATTTTAAAAAATATGTCATTCTCTACTACTACTTATATGGAAGTTTCCTTTCGTAAGTTTTATATAATTTACTTCATGAATGATAAAAAACAATGCTAAATATCCAGGAGACGAAAATTCATTGAAGACCATTTTATAACTCCAAGCACAGAATTTTAGGATGTTAAAGACATTTGCTGGCAACTAAACAAAAGAATTTCTTGAAAAACAAACAACAAACAAACACTCCCACCTAACAAATATCCCCCCTGCCTGCCTCCATTCTAGAACGGACAGAAATCAGGTGCGCAGGAGAGCAGGCCAGCTGTGTACTCCAGAGTTAAATGAAAACATGGAAGACTGTAGCACACGTGTTAAAGAATGAATTTAATTTGAACAAGGAATTTAATTCTTTAACAAACCAATGAGTTTAAAAAGTTGGTACTGGTTTAATTTTGAGTGTCCCTTTTTCAAGTTCCACTTGGGGGAAAAAAAAGTATAAGTTTTTTCTCTACTGTAATTGCTTCCCAACAGTTCAATGACAGCAAAACATTAAATCTATGATGGTGCTGGAGCTCTTCTGTAAGGGCAGAGATGCACCTTCATGAACTTTGTAAAATCTGCAGTAAAGGAGAGAAAAAAGAGAGGGGAAGGGAGAAAGGAAGGAATGAAGAAAGGAAGAAGGGGGAGAGGGGAGAGAGAAGAGAGGGGAAGGAAGGGAAAGGAAGAGGGAGAGGAAAAGGGTGAGGGAGAGGGAGAGGGAGAGAGAGAGAGACCAAAACTAATTTTCCAGGCAGGAAAATACTTACAAAACCTTTTATGTCAAAGTTAGGGTTTCACAACAGATCACACTAAATGTAAAATCCAATAGCACCTGTAAGATTTAAGTAAATGCTGCCATCACTTGAATGCTTTTTTAAAAAGTATCTGTAAAAGACTGAGGGGAAAAAAGATAAAGTACATTCTCCAGAGAACAACAAGTATATTTCAAAATAAAAACTGTATTTTTGTCTTTCTTTTTTTTTTTTCCAGTTGATTTTTTGTACAAGAGTTCAGTTTTCATATAATAACTTATACACAACGGGATCACCCTCTGCTCTCCTTCCTGTGTCACTTCGAGTCCACATGTTCAGGCTACAGTCCCCAGCACTGTTTTTCTGACAAATATATTATCACAGTTTGATCTAAATATAGATACATTATATAATATTTGCCTCTGGGAAAATCAAATTTTAATATGCAAACTTTTATTTCTATAATACAGAAATGGAGAAAACTACAGTAGGCAAACAACCTAATTATGACTTGAAAATGATGACTCTCCTACCGTAAATCAATGTTTAAAATAGACTTAATATTTTATTTATATGTGCCCTTGTGTCCACCTTATCCCATATACTGTACACGTCTAATGACAATCTGGGAATTTAAAGGTGCAGCCCTCAAGAAATTGTTAGATCACTTTTTAAAAAAAATTAGGCTCTATTGGACAAGGAAAAAACTCAGAAAATTTCCAATTTTAAATTTCATATAGTAGGAAAATATTAAAAAAAATTTCTGTATATACATATAAGTATATGTATATATTGAGTTACACAATCTCACATGTCAGTACAACTCAAGTGGAGACATTTTGATGAGTTATTTTCCCACTATATAATAACTATGTCAAAATTTAAAAATATCTTATTACATCGTTAAAATAATTCACTTACCATTTCAACAGCTTACACTGTTTACTTATTTTTATTAACTCTTCATATCTACATTCCCTGATCCCTAGAGTTAAATCCCCTATTTAAGTCAAAATCTGGTGCTCTTTGTTACTCAGAAACTGATAGATAAAATCACATCTACTTCAAAATTCTATCAATTAAATAAAGTTTTATTACCTGATTTGTCAGAGAAATATCTCAGCTCTGAGCTTGTGTACCTACATTACCTTCCCTGTAATACATAGGTGAGCAAAATACCCTAAATAGATGGAGGTAACTCACATGATGTCATAGCACATACAATACATGATGACCAAGTGTCTGGTAAAAACTTTTCAGAGACATCTGAAAACTCACTTTAGAAACTAACTTTAGAAACCATTTATTTTTCACTCTAATATAAATTAATATGTATGTATTTCCATACATACACATACATATATAAAACAAAATTGCCTATGCTGAGTAGCTGTTTGTGAGTGAAAAAATGGTTACAAATTGATCAATTAGCTTAATTTTGTTCTTAACAATTCAGTCTTTTGGGGGTACAAACCAAAAGTCAGTGCACTTTGTAGACTCCTCAGAGTCAGATTCCCAAGCATACACTTTAAAAAAAGAACCCTCCTCAACACCGCAGGCATTGTACAGCGAGAATACATGGACTCTGATGCAACTCCTACTCCATATGCAGACTAAACAGCACGTGCCTTACTCTTAAAATAGCTTCTTAAAAGAAATATATAAAGAAATGCATCTTTGCTAAAAGTCTTTTAAAATTACATCAAAACAACATTAAAACCTGTTCACTGAGAAGAGCCTTTTGAATTGAATTCCTGTGTTGAGATGCCTAGTTAACAGTTCAGAATATTGCCTTGTGAGGTTTGACTAGAGATGTGGTTGGTGTGGAGATCCAGACAGAGTACACGGCTCAATCCCAATAGTCCTCTGATCCGCTGTTGGATGGAAATGGATCCCTTTTAAAATATCTATACACCTGAAAAGGATCTATAATAAACAGTTCCCCAATAACCACAATTATTTGTAAATTGAAATGCGTTGATCATCCAGAAAAGGTTTCTTGCAAAAGATATAAATAAAGGTAACTGCATATTCTGTAAATATACTTAACATTGCTAGACCAGTCCGTCAGCGACGGGCTGCTGCATTTCAGTACTGTGTCAAATTTATTAGAAATTTAAAAAGAAAAACTTCTGAGGGACTCAGCTGCCTTCGTTAGTTGGCTTTAAAATGTATAGTAAAATGGGAGACAGTATCTTCTCATAAATACATGGAATCAGTATGGAAAAGTAAACTATACAGTGACAAGGTTAGAGAACACCAGAGTGCAGCAGAGTGCTCACCAGAGTGAAATATCTTCCCGCATAAAAAAAAGGGAAGAGCTCTACACACCCTGGCACAGCAAGCATGTTTCAATTAAAGATGCAGCGCGCTCTCACTCCTGGCAAGAATTAACTGGTAATGACACTGCTTCCCAACAGTGCAAAAATATCCTGAGAAATTATTCAGATTATAATAAAAGACAGGGCTTTCGTCACTAAGTTGTTTTTTTTTGTGTGTGTTTTTTTTTTTTTTTTGCACAAAACACAGCTTTAGATATCATAAATAAATTAAGTTAAAAAGCAGATAGCCTTCACTGTGTTGAACACAAAAAGGGGATGTGACCCAGACATCGTTAATTCTCCCGTTGGCTAATATCAGGAAAAAGAAAAAAGAAAAAAGAAAAAAAAAAGGATTGCATTAAGTGTCTACTTGTAATTTCCTAGTTAGCTATGGCCAATAATATACATGGAGGTAATTTGTAGTTCAAGTGTTTCATCTCTTTTTTCCCAACTAGCTACAAGCTGGATTCTAAAATTTACACTGAAATATACAATTCCAATTTTCAAAAAAAACCTCCTCTGGAAGGAGTGATATTTAGATTTTTTGTGCAATCTTGATGCAGAGCCCAAACAGTCCTAGGAAGGGATATAGTGTATTTTCTTTTCTTTTCTTTTTTTTTTTTTTAAATCAATTGGCACTGAAATTTCACTTTCCTTAGCTGCATTCTAGAAGCTTGGCCAAGTTATCTCGTAACTCCGTTAGTTCAAAGATTTTTCCATCGAGAATTTCTAAGAGTGTCTTCAGGTTATTACGAAAAGCTTCTTGTTCATTCTGACTTTTCTCCAGACGTTGCTCTAAGTCAGACAGTTGTCCCTCCAGGTCTTTGTTCCGAATTTCTACTTCCTTTAGAAACAAAAGTGCGATATAAATATATATATATACATGTCAGTTAATGATTTAGAAAACGATATATCGATAACTTTTGTTATTTCCAATATTGTGGTAGTTACGAATCTCAGGTTAACACAATTTTAGGAGAGATTTTAGACTTCACCATCCAAGAAATCCACGTGGTTTTACTGTCTGGTTTGTTCAGGAACCTACCTACCCATCTAACAAAAATTTCCTGACTGCTTACTTTGTGCCAGGCAAACCCCTGGGCACTCAAATACCAAGACAGTACTGAAGACCCACTTAGAGGATTATCTGCATCTCATTTCTATTTCTGCTATCGTGCTGTTCCTAATGCACAACTGTTCGCAATCTTTGGTGAAAGCAGGCAGAGAAAAAGAGGGAAGTTAATGTTTTCTCCTTATTGGCAATTCTGGAGAAATACTGAGAGAAGAAAAATGACTTCCTGAAATGGAGTTTTAGGATCCTTTAAATATGTTAATTATTCTTTGTTTTGCCACAAGAGTGAATGAATGCATGTGATAGAAAACATAGTTCAATTGCTAAAAAACGATAGTGAAGATATATAATAACTACATATAAGAATTGTAAAGATAATAATTCCAACATACTAGAAAACAAGGAAAGAAAAAGAATCACACACAAAAAAAGAAAACTCATGGCAACAAAAATAATTTTTTAACACATTAAATTCTGGCATACGGTATTTAGAAGTTTTTATTGCTCTAAAAATGCTTCTAAATGTCACAAATATAGTAAGCAATTCTATAAAATAACATAACATGAGCTTTGATATAACTTCAGTAAGAAATAAAATTGAGAAAAAAAAAGCAGAAAACCAACTATTATACTTTAAATAAGCATATGAATTACAGGTAAGCAATGAATTGGCAGTTACAGTAGTCCCCTTATCTGAGAGGGGACATGTTCTATAAGAAGCCCAGTGGATGCCTGAAATTGCAGAGAGTACCAAACCCTATATATACTGTATTTTTTCCTACACATACATACTTATGATAACATTGAACATATACATTAGGTACAGGAAGATATTAACAATAAAATAGAGTATAACAACATACTGTAGTAAAAGTTATGTAATTGTGGTCTCTCTCCCAAAATATCTGGTAACTGAGACAGCAACTAAGTGACCAACAGGTGGGCAGCCTATTCAATGTGAATACGCTGGACAAAGAGATGTTATGTCCTGCGGCGGAACAGAGCAGGACAGCTGAATATTTTATCACGATGCTCAGAATGGCATGCAATTTAAAACTTATAAACTTTATTTCTGGAATCTCCCATTTAATATTTGCAGATACAGTTGACTGCAAGTAACTGTTTTCTGTGCAATCTTGATAAAAAAAAAAAAAAAAAACACGAAAACCCTACGTAAAGAGGGGGCTACTGTATATATAAGCTTTCTAGAAAGCTCACTTTTACAGCTGAGAGGACTGAGGTGACTGACACAATTTACATTCACGTATGCAAATTCTATGGAATAATAAAAACATTTTGGAGAAACCAAAATGGCAGTATAGGTAAACACCTGAACTGCTGCCTTGCACAACACTTTTAAAACTACAACTAATGGGCAAAACGGACATCATTGAGCACCACTGGAAGGCTGGCTGAGTGGAAATTCTACAAACAGGAGGAAAGAGAAAAGCACACTGAGGCTCACAGAAACTATGGAGGTGCGCACGCTCAGAGAGGGCTGGCAACTGAGTACATGGCAGGCTTTCTCAGTTGGGAGGGCGACAAAAGATCCCAAATGCTCTGAACTCCAGATCCTGGTGAGACTCATACAGGGAGAAACTGAACTGTCTGGTAGTGGGCAAAACTCGAGAGCGGCTTTCTCTTAGAGGTGTTTGCAGTGATTACCTCAGGACACTAAGGCTTCCATCCTGAGATCCCACCCCATTAAGCCATTGCTGTTTGCTCTGCCCTGAAACTCCACCCCATCTAAGCTGAGTGAAGAGGCTTTTGCATATGAATGGCCTGGTTCTTTGAATTCTAAACGTACCTACCAAATTGCAGCTGAGTCAGTGAGACCCATAACATCCAAAAGAAAGCCCAAGGCCCTACAGCAGCTTGCATTGCTTCACAGCTGCACCTCATCTGGGCACCTCGGAAACCCAAACAAAGAAGAGGAATCTGCAGATCTCTCTGTACCTCCTGCTGGGTGGCCTCAGCCAGAGGCTAAATTAGCACCTCCTTGGAGATCCAAGAGCCCGGGAACCCAGGGGTCAGAGTGGAACCACCCAGATTACAACTCCTCTGTTCCATAAGGGACACAACTCAGGGGGCAGACTCAGTGAGCACCAAAGCCCCACTGAAGCGAGTCTTAACTCATAAAGGTGTCTCCAGCACAGTTCTCCCATAGTAGACACAGCTGATCCTCACAGCCAATTGGCCAGGAGGTCAATTCCTCCCAGTGATACCAACAACAATCAAGGCTTAACTACAAGACTGTGCACACAGCCCAACAAGGAGTTCACCAAGAGTGTCCAACTGGAAAGGATGAGTCACTGGGCCCAATAGGACACCTAGCACACAAAGCCACTCTATCAACTTAGGGAAGCAGCCAAACTGCAGAGAGAAAGAAACAGATCACAAAGGAAAGAAATGGAGGAAAGCAAATGATTGGATATAGAGTTCAAAACCACAGTTATAAGGTTTATCAAGAATTTTCTAGGAAAGGCCAATAAATTTAATGAGACCCTCGAGGAGATGAAAAAGGACCAACTAGAAATTAAGCACACACTGATTGAAATAAAAAAATAATAATCAGAGATCCAAAAGCAGACTAGAGAATCGCCAAGAATCAAGGTAAAGATTTGAAATACAAAGAAACAATAAATACCCAATTGGAAAAGAAAAAAAATTAAAAGTAAAAATAAAATTTTTAAAAATCCAAAAATATAAAGATAGTGTAAGGAGCCTCTAGGACAACTTCAGGCATACCAATATCTGAATTATTGGGGTGCCAGAAAAAGAGGGAAAGCAAGGTACTGAAAACTTATTTGAAGAAATAATGACTGCCGAAATTGGTTTGGCTCAGTGGATAGAGCATCGGCCTGCGGACTGAAAGGTCCTGGGTTTGATTCCAGTCAAGGGCATGTACCTTGGTTGCAGGCACATTCCCAGTAGTGGGTGTGCAGGAGGCAGCTGATCAATGTTTCTAACTATCCCTCTCTCTTCTTCTCTGTAAAAAATCAATAAAATATATTTTTTTAAAAAGAAAGAATGACCAAAAACTTCCCCACCTGGGGAAAGAAATAGACTTACAAGTCCAGGAAGCGCAGAGAACTCCAAACAAAAGGAATCCAAAGAGGACTGCATCAAGACACATCATAATTAAAATGCCAAGAACAAAAGACAAAGAGAGAATATTAAAAGCAGCAAGAGAAAAACAGTTAGTTACCTATAAGGGAGCACCCATATGACTGTAAGCTAATTTCTCGACTGAAACGATGCAGGCCAGAAGGGAGTGGCAAGAAATATTCAAAGTGATGAATAGCAAGAACCTACAACCAAGATTACTCTACCCATCAAAGCTATCATTCAGAATTGAAGGGCAGATAAAGAGCTTCACAGATAAGAAAAAGCTAAAGGAGTTCATCACTGCCAAACCAGTATTATATGAAATGCTGAAAGGTATTCTTTAAGAAGAGGAAGAAGAAGAAAAAAGGTAAAGATAAAAATTATGAACAACAAAATACATATCTATTAACAAGTGAATCTAAAAATCAAGTGAATAAGAAATCTGATGACCAGAATAAACAGATGAATATAATAGAATCAGGGGCATAGAAAGGAGTGGACGGACAATCCTCAGGGTGAAAGGGGTAGAGGGGGTGCAGGAAGAGACTGGACGAAAATCATACACCTATGGATGAGGACAGTGGGGGCAGGGGGGTGTAAAGGCAGAGTGTGGGGTGGGGACCAGGTGGAGGGGAGCTATGGGGGGGGGGGGAAGAGGATCAATTAATTGTAATAATATGAACAATAAAGATGTATTTTTTTAAAAAAGACAAATTAAAAAAAATAAAAGCATTTTGGTGTTAGTAACACAATATGAATCAGCCTCAGAAAATATATTTCAAACATGTTAGTATATCATTCAAAAATATATAAACGTCTAAAAAAATCCTGTCAAGTCAGGATAGGGGGATATTTTTTTAATTACTGAAAGACAATTTGGTAAATAAAAAGAATAGTATGTGAAGCAGATTTGTATGCTTGAGACAAATACTGGGAATTAATGTACTAATAAGAAATAGAAATTACTTCAGGGTTTTGGGATTATGGGTACTTTTCCCCCCCAAAATTTGTCTTACAATATCTGTTAAACTTTTGAGAAAAATAACCGGGAAGTGGCTTGAATACATAAGAGAGTAACAGTTGAATTAGGATTCCGAGCATGTAGAAAATTTCATGGGCTTTGACAGAAATAGCTAGGATCAAGGCTTAAGCCAGGGTGCCACAGATGCGTTGCAAAAGCTTGGGAAATATAAGAAGGGAATCATGCAGCTATAATCACTTATAGATGAAGAATTTAAGGAATCCCAACCTAATCTTAAGGTATTAACTGTGAGATGTTTACCAGGTATGTTTCTAATCTTTGAATAATCCACAAGATGAAGATAAGTAAATTGAGTGCAGAATCTGAAATCAATAAAATGCTTATGAATCCAGAAGCCCTGGAGGCTCTAAACTATGAGGGAGAAAATAGTCCCTGGGATCGAATCTAAAAATGCCACTCACGACTGCACAGCGTGCTCTCTTGCCTGCTTAAACAATAAGCTTAAGAGTAGGATGTTTCCAACTATAAAAATAGACGGAATGTCATTCACTAGAAAACACCCTCTTCACCAGGCACCGCCCAGTTTGCTCTCTAGAGCCTCCCTTTAAAATGAAAGGCTGCCTTGTTCTCTTTGCCAATCAAGGAAACATCCAAACATGTTCAATGGAAGCGAGCAAAACACAAAGTTCTCTCAGCTATTAAAGTGGTGGTGTTCTCTCTAAAAGGAGTCTCACACTCTAAGCCATTTTTCTGATTGGAGGGATTTTACCAGGCAGATGACAAAAGGGATCCGATATAATGCTGATGGTGCTGGTCTATTCTGAGGCAGAGAATGTGATCCTAGGGCAAGAACAGACAACCGGTGCATGGGGCCAACAGGAGGCAGTCGGAGCCCTGGATGGTGGCACCTCCCATTCTTCTACTTTGGTAATGAATTTTAAAAAATCTTCCTAACTGTGGTTCGCTACCACTGACACCTATTACGCGTATATAAATTGGAAGCATATTTTCGTGCAGAAAAAAGTGAGTAAAACTAATTAGACTGAAAAAATAAGAAGAGCACTGACTTCATTTCCATGAGGGCTCAACTACTGCTTTTATTCGTATTTTAATTCAATGTAAAAAGTGAGCAGAATTTCTAAACTGAATGAAAACCATTTGAGAAGTTTTCTTTAAATTCAGAGTATTTTTAGGTTAAAAGTAGAAATTTCTAAAATAATTGTAAAGATCTACACTAATAAAAGAGAAAGATGCAAATTGGCTGTACCTTTGTGATACCCACCAGCCAATCAGGAGTGAGTATGCAAATTAATCCAAAGACTGTATGTTAATTTGCATATGCAGGTGCCCAAGCAGCTGGGGGCTGGACGCTTGCATCATTGCCATGGCGATGAAGCAGGCATTCCGCACTGCCCGGGCTCCGGGCCTCTGGGCAGCATGGGAAGGCAGAAAGAAGGTTTGGGGTCAGAACGCAGGCAGAAAGGCGGCTCCGGGCCAGAGCAAAGGCAGTGCTGGCAGGCAGGGGGAAGAAGGCCCTTGCTTGCACGAAATCTTCGTGCCTTGGGCCTCTAGTAATTTCTAAATGACTACCTATGATGACTATAAGTTATCTAAATGAAATTATCAACAACTTTTAGAAAAATCTAAGCTTAGGCATGAATCAGAAGTCCTAGAAAAGAAAAATGACCAAGAATCTACAAAATGAAGTTTCAGGAAAAAGTCATAACTACAGTGATAGAATGATTGATACCTCCCCATGCAAAAATGAATAAACATTTTATTAGAGCTTACCTGCAGTTTCTGAGTCAGAGAGTCCCTCTGTTCTTGGAGTTCTCTGGCATTATCAATTTCTTGTTTTAATCTTTCTATTTCCTAGAAAAAAATAGAGCAATGTCTTTAACAATAACATGTAAGTGCTATCAAGGAAAGAGAGGCACCATTTTTCCTGAAATTACTGTCCTCGTTCTTTAAGACAATGATTTAAAGAACATTTACTTTAAATTTCTTTAAAAAGATGAAAGGATTAAAAATAAATAAAGAAATTAACTCATAGACAGATAACAGTATGATGATTATCAGAGGGAAACAGAGATGGGGGAAGTAGGAGAGAGTAAAGGAGGGACAAATGTATGGAAAGAGACTTGACTTGAGATGGTGAGTCATATATTATAGAATTGTGCCCCTGAAACCTATATTATTGTATTAACTAATTTCACCCAGTAAATTCAATTAAAAAAATAAAGAGCATTCCTTTATACTGACTTTTAGAGAGGTGAATTCATCTTAAATATATATTTTTATGATTTCAGAGAGGAAAGGAAAGGGACAGAGAGATAGAAACATCAATGATGAGAGAGAATCATTGATTGGCTGCCTCCTGCAAGCCTTACAATGGGGATTGAGCCTGCAACCTAGGCACATGCCCCACCTGGGAATCACACTGTGACCACCCAATTCATAGGTCAATGCTCAGTCACTGAGACATGTTGGCCAAGCTGAATTCATCTTTATAGGCATGTTGTCTTGTGCAGAATAAGCTTAAGAAACAAGCAACAAGACTAACTTGATGGCTTTGGTATAGCACTGCTCAGAATCAGTTTGAACATTTTAAGGTTGTTTCAAGTTTTAAAATTCTTCCCTGGGATATTAAATCTGACTGAAAACCATAGAAAGCAACAGCTTGTAAAATTCATATAACTTACAATAGTTTCCTGTTGGTCTTAAGGATACAACTCTCAGACAGAAAGTTGCATAACTGGTATGCAACAAGCAGTATCTCAGTCTGATCGCCTTACCATAGTTCATAACAATAGAAACAAGGATGGAGAAAATATGAACAAGGTTAATATCACTGAAGAAAAATTTCATGCTAAAAAACCCACACTGCCTTACCTTATTCCATAAAGTACATAGACTCTAATATTTTAGCTAGATTATAGCTGAGCAAAAAGTAGAAAGTACCTCTTCCTTTTCTTTCAGTGTTTCTTCCAGTTCTTGTATTGTCTGATTTAATTCTGTCTTATGGGTATGCACTGCATTTGCTTGACTACTAACACATTCAAGCTCAGTCACCTAAAATTAAATGAGAACTCAGGTTAAATTATATGAAAACTTCAAAGAATTTATTACTAAAGAGATAACAGGCCCTTGGTAGGCGAGTAATGAATTTTGAATCAATATATGAAAATTAATTTTGAGAAATATTAATATGAAAGAATAAATAAAAAATTCTTTTAAAAATATATTTTATTGATTTTTCACAGCGAGGAAGAGAGAGGAATAGAGAGTTAGAAACATCGATGAGAGAGAATCATCGATCAGCTGCCTCTTGCACACCCTCCCACTGGGGATGTGCCCGCAACAAAGGTACATGCCCTTAACCGGAATCGAACCCGGGACTTTTCAGTCCGCAGGCCGACGCTCTACCCACTGAACCAAACCAGTCCCGGCAGAAAAAATTCTTTAGAGATGTGGATTTAGGACAAAAAAGAGCAAAGGAAATAACTATTTACATGGGCTGGTCATGAAAAGGATAAGAAAACTTAAGTGATTAATGATAGTAGAAAATTCCTTTAAAAGCTACTCATAACATTTAAAATCAGATATAGTCATCTGCCCTCCATCTGTAGCTTTCAAATTTAATTGAAAACTGGCCTTGCAGAGATGAGAAATTTTTCTAATACATTTCCAAAATGTAAGAGAATCTGGAAGAAAAAAAATATGCTTAAAATGCAACTTAAATATTTGATACAAAAATGTCTACATATTAATAGTTTCTCTTATGACAAAAGATAGTTCTTCAGTCAATAGATTGACTGAGAGCCCAAACACAACATAACTTTTAGTGAACACTTGCTAGTTTTTGAGAGAACAGATAGAATACAACCCCTATATGCTCTTAGAACCAATGAAAATCTCCAAACGATGTCCCTGTGCTGAATCTACATGTAAATGTCCTCTAATCAAGGAAATGTGCTAGCCATGAATTCCATGGACAGCAGCCCTGTACTTGCCCGCTTGTGCAGACGTTCTGCTTCCTCTTGATATGCAGCGAGCTGCTGTTTCCATTGTTTCACATTGGCAGTCGACTCCAACAGGGCTGCAGTGAGCTTGGCATTATTTCCTTTGAGGGTAGCCAGTTCAGCCTCCCAATGTTTGCTGATTGCTGAACTGAAATTCAAAACAACAAAACAAAACAACTCTATACATTATACTGAATATTATTACATTGAAAGGACAGCAGTACTCAGGTCTTTCATTTGGTTCATAGTTCATGAATGTTTCAAAGACAATCCAAGAAGAATAAAAACAAAAGTATTTCATTGAAATGCTCTTAATAAAATAAATAAATAAATAAATAAATAAATAAATAAATAAATAAATAAATAAAATCTTAGCAAATGAGAAAATATAAAAAGTACCAAAGTAGTGGTACTTAATGTGGAAAAGTTCTCCTCACTGTAACAGATATAGGTATCTTACAGGAGAGTCTTCACCTATTCTTTCTTTTTTTAAATTTATTTTTATTGATTTCAGAGAAGAAAGGAGAGAGAGAGAAAGAGAAATATCAATGAGAGAGAATAATTGATTGGCTGCCTCCTGCATGCCTCTTATTGGGGAACAGCCTAAAATCTGGGCATGTGCCCTGACTACTGAGCACACCAGCAGGGCTCTATCCGTTCTCTTTTGAAGAATAAACATTATATCCTGAAAAATATCTATGAAGAAAACATAAGAATGTACTATATTTTTAAGAGCATCATAGCCTGAAGTACAATTTTATTAATATTACTTCATATAAAACATATGAGGATGTCCTAGCCCAGTGGTCAGCAAACTCATTAGTCAACAGAGCCAAATATCAACAATACAATGACTGAAATTTCTTTTGAGAGCCAAATTTTTTAAACTTAAACTTCTTCTAACGTCACTTCTTCAAAATTGACTCGCCCAGGCCGTGGTATTCTGTGGAAGAGCCACACTCAAGGGGCCAAAGAGCCACATGTAACTCTAGAGCTGCGGTTTGCCAACCTCAGCCATAGCCAATTTGGCTCAGTGGATAGAGCATCCGCCTGTGGACTGAAGGGTCCCAGGTTCAACTCTGTCAAGGGCACATGACATGCCCTGGTTGTGGGCTCGATCCCTAGTGGGAGGCATGCAGTAGGCAGCTGATTGAGGATTCTCTCTCATCATTATTTCCCTCTCTCTCCCTACCTCTCTGAAAAAAAAAAAAAGTATTTTAAAAACAACAACAACAACAAAACATATGAGGATGCTTCAATGTTTCAATAAGGTTTGGGACATATAATAGAGAATTTAATATTATTGGTGATTTATGTCATGTTGCTCAGAATTTTTAAATGGCCTAAATATTTAAAAAATGCTGGAATAGCCCTGACCAGTTTGGCTCAGTGGATAGACTGTCGGCCTCTGGACTCAAGGGTCTCAGGTTCAATTCTGGTCTAGGACATGCATGTACCTTGGTTGCGGGCTCATATCCAGTAGGGAGTGTGTAGGAGGCAGCTGATCGATGTTTCTAACTCTCCCTTCCTCTCTGTAAAAAAAATATATATATAAAAATATATCAATAAAATATATTTTTTTAAAATGCTGAAATAAATTGATTTCAGGTCATATGACAGACTAGACCTAGAAACTAATGATTTAATTTATGACAAAATTCCCCTGTCACTGATAGAACAGAACTTAGGGCAATCACCTTTCCCCCCATTTAATGTTCTACTTGATAAGTTACCCAAAGTTAAGTATTTCAATCAAGACAATTTTCTACTATAAAGATAATTCTACTAATTAGGAAAATCCCTATTTTGATAATTCCTTTCTTCAGTTTTATAATGAAGAAAGAATTGCCTCCTTTCTCATTATTGAAAAGTTTGTTCCTATTAGTGAAGTTCTACTAAACTCATTCCATTAACTAACTAGTAATGATAATAGCTTTCCTTAATCCACATTTTGATGTTTGATATTATTTGCATCACAAAACAAATGTTTTGATAGACTTACATTTTATAGTAATATTAATATATATTAGATAAAAGAAAGCATAATTTCTATCATCAAGATTCCTAAAGCTCATCACAAATAATAAGACATATCAGCATTATGAGATCATTTCTGTGAAATTCTTGCCAAAAACTCCTCTCATCCTAATTATGAGAAAACATCCTATAAACCCAAACTGGGAGACATTCTACAAATTAACTGATTGATGCTCTTCAAAAGTGTCAAGAAGAAATAAGACTGAGAAAAAATGGAGGAGACTAAGAATAAATAAGTAAATACAATGTGAGATCCTGGTTAGGTCCTAGAACACAATAAGGGATACTGGTGAAAATTGTTATCTGCAGTTTAGTTAGAAGTATTGTATCAATGTTAATTTCCTGGTTTTGATAATTATGAAAGATGTTAACATTAATGGAATCTAGGTGAGAGGCATATGGGAAATCTCTATACAGTTTTGCAATTTTTGTATGTTTAAAATTAATTTAAAATAGAACACTAAAAATGTTTCTAAAGGGTCCTGAAAATTTTTCATCAATACATGAAAGAACAGAATCAAACAATTAGTTAAGCTATTAATTTAACAACCCTTTTTTCTCCTTAAAAAGAAATTTCTAATTCTTTTGTGGAAGGATTTTCTGAATTCAGATTTTCTGAGCAAAGTGTGCACTGATTCACCAGCTCTAACTGAATTATAGAATTTTTTTTTAAACCACCTACCAATTGTTCCACTACAGAGATGAGTTTTTATTTAAATGGGTTTTTCAAAATTCATAAAATTGTACAGAAGAGAGGGTAAATTTTACTATATAAAATTATGCTTCAATTAAAACATTATCACACTAGCAAAAGAAAGAAAAAAAGCTTTCTAAGCACTCCTAGATATTCTTCCTGTGACTGTAGCATTACAAATAAAAAGAGCTGGAAAGTCTTCTTAGATGGCAGAACGGTCTCTAAGCTGCTCCATTCATGTCTGTATTTATGGCACGGGAAGAGACTGAATGGGCAGGAAACAGAACAGCTGTGATATAATGAGTCCAAAATAAAAAGGAAGGAGGTGAGGGCATCTGGAGATGTTGATAAAAAGATTGGAGAAGTAGAATTATAGAGGCAGGGATATGCAAGGGAAAGGAATAGACAGCTGTAATTAAAATTAGTTTGGGGTCTGGCCAGTGTGGCTCAAGGTTTGAGTGTCGACCTATGAACTAGGAGGTCACAGTTCCATTCCTGGTCAGGACAATTTCCAACAGGGGGCATGCAGGAGGCAGCCCATCAATGATTCTCTCTCATCATTTATGCTTCTATCTCTCCCTTCCTCTCTCCCTCTCCCTTCTTCTCTGAAACACACACACACACACACACACTCACACACACACACACACACACACTCACACACACATTTAAAAATTGGCTTGGGTAAGGAAAAAACTGAAATGATGCCTCTGGAACAGGATAGAAAAAGATGAACATATAAAGTCTTGATATATCATAATTTGTTTACTTCATATTCATGAACATGTCTTGAGTCTCTAATATATTAAGAAGTGAGAATTCCCACTAACTCTTTTTTTCCTTTACTCTGCAGAGCTCCAAAATATTGCTGATTGCACTTAAGAAAATATTGAAGCAAATTATTTTATCAAATACTTGCATGCATATTGCATAAGACTACAATCAGCAATAACAATTTAAGACCTAAGAGACCTGAAATGAGTTCTACAGGAGACCAGTTCAATGCTAAGTTTGTGTGTTTCTGCATTTTCATATGCTTGGTTCCAACGAAAAAAAAGATATGCTCTTAAGGCCATTTTATAATATCAACCAAAAACTGCTTCTTTTTTTTTTTTTTTTTTTTTTTTTTTAATTTGAATCTTTCAGGATATTCTTGCTTCTTGTACTTTAGGAGTGGCTTCATTAATAATCCATTTTTCTAGAGCACAATGTGAAATACAATTTAGAAAATAAAATATTTTTTTAATTTTGTAATTTGCCCTATTTTCTTCTAGTGTATTAGAATACCCTATATGTCAACTTACAATGAATTCCAAAGAGTCTCCTGTAGGAAGTTCTACATGTGAGCTATCTGATATCTCTGATGTGTCCAGCCCTTATATATAATTTTAAATAGTTGGCACACTTTTGCAATTTGAGAAACAATGTTCCTTTCTTCTATCTACAACTCCTCCCTCTTTAAACTCATATTTAGCAGTACCTAATACCTTGGGATTAATTCTGATACCAAAACTTTAAGTTAGCATCTTACATTTCAGGAATATTGTTAAAAAAAAAAAATTGAGGTTCTCTGACTGCTAACTTGGTCTTTTTTTACAGGTACACCTTTGACAGTTTCACACCGAATAAACTGCTCACAAAGAAACACCTAAATTGTGCAGTTGGAGACACCAGTGAGTCAGAAGAGATTTTGAAACACCACTATGACCTCATGTCTGAGTGCTGGAATAAGGACAAAATAATTCTTTATTCCCATGACTGGTAAAGTTTCCCTTCAAACATGACCAACTAGTTTCCTGCTGGCACTTCCGATCCAGAAGTCAGGGAAGGAGTTCAGAACATTCCAAAAACATCATCTGAAAGGTTCCTTAATCTGGAATTTTACAATTTCCCTTTATCTAATGTCAAAGTTCTATAAGAAAGCAGTCAACTTGATTAAGTTACTTCTACAATATGCAGAAGATCATCTAACAAAGTAATCTATCTAAGAAAAATAAGAGTCTAGTGCATGAGTAAGGCACTTATTTAACCTGTGGAGTCAACCCTGTGTGTCCACGGTCAGTAACAGAATTTAAAAAAACTGCCTTTCCTCTGTGCCTGTAGGGGCCAGGATCCACCATCAGTCTCTAGAATAGCAGCGCCTTGCATGTGCTTCTTGAGCTGTTAATTATGTAGAATTGTGAAAAAAATATCCAGATAATGTCTTAAAAATAGATTGCAACAGACTTACTTTTTGACATTATTCTCAGTGTGAATGGTGAGGTTACTCCCTAACTATGCAAATAAGACTGACTCAAACACTTCACAATCCTGACTTGTCTCAGGATCGGCCTAGTGGTCTCTCCTCACTGCCCGCCCACTCCTGTGAAAGCAGAGGCAGCCAACGTGGACATCACCACACCGTGTGCCACTTTCTG